TAGTGTTAATATGTTAGGTACTGAGTACTTTACTACATATCAGCCAATTTAAACTTTACAGCTACTTAAGATGTGAGCAGTATTATTAACCTTGAATTCAGCTATGTAAACTGAGGCAAAGATGACTAAGTCCTGCTGGAAATGGTGCAACTAGTAAGGGAATATAGAGGCAGAATCCATCTCCAGGCAGTGGAGCTCTGGCCTGTACTTGCTTGTGGCACGGAGTGGCGTCTACACTCTGTGCACACCTTGTACGTATATAATATGGAGTCTTTGCTCTGCTGCCTCATGGGCCCTAGTGGTAGCTCTGCACTCTTCTTTCTTGACAACTAATCCCTCCCCTACCCCTTCTCTTGACCCTGCCCAGCCTACTCAGGCTGAGGTCCATGCTTCCTCTCCTCTTCTTCTTGAACTCTTAGCCCACTCCAGTTCATCTTTCTTCCAAATCCATATGATTGAGCAAACCCCCACTTTGACTTGGAAGTACAGTAAACTGAGGCACACCTACCTGCAGGTCCCTACCAGCTCCCACTCAACCCTGCCCTGTATGTGCCTACAGCTCATTTCCCAAGCTTCAGTACCATCCTAGCCTCACCAACAGTGTCTCCTCCCCTCCTCGTTAAACTGGCTAATTAATGGCTGCTGCCTGTGGGAAGCAGATGTTTTGGAGCTGTTGGCCTGGGGAGGCACTGGGCTGGTTCCCAAGTGGTGCTGACACCACGGGCTGCACCAGTGAGCTGTTCAGCCCTTTAGGACCCAGAAGGGCAAAGTCCCTCTCTCATGGTCTGCCTGCCTGGCTTCAGAGCCCTAGATCATTGCTATCCTTGTCTGTACGTGTGCTTTTCTGATGCCATGAAAAGGTGGATGTGGCCAGTTTCCACCTTCCGTGGGGTGTCTGCAGGGGATAGCACCAAGGGGTTCTTTGGGAGGCTGGTTGAGAGCTGGCAGGGGGCATGATTTTCTTTCCACCACCTCCTCCCTTGAAGGCCTGGCAACCTTGGTCCACTTTCACTTCACAGGGAGAAAGCCAGGCTCTCTCTGGGTTCTGTTGTGCCTTCAGGTAGAGCTTTGGCAACTGTTGGCACTCTGCTCAGGGCAAAATAAGCCCCAGCCAGCATACTGGGAGAGAGTGGTCACCTTAGGCCCTGCATCCCCTCTTTTGGGGATGCAGATCCCTGCAAACTGGGTCTGGGTTGCCATGGTGAATGGAATTTTCTCACATTAACAGCCTGAAGTGGGGACAGTTGCTTAGGGCATGGATGTAGTGGAGGTACCCCTCCTCTTCTGGTTTCTGTCCCAGCTAAGGAAGGAGAGGGAATTCCCCTGAAGATCTGTTATCCTCCTTCAGGAAGCAAGAGCCCTGCTTCCAAGGGCCCACTGCAGCTGCTGGGAAGGCCAGCAACAAGGAGGGAATTCCCCCAGGGCCAGGGCAGGTGGGAGGCACATGGAAGCACAGCCGGAACTGCAGCGGGCAGAGGGGTGCTAACAGCTGGGCTCCGAAGCTTCCAGCCTCAGTGTTTGTTTCTGTTTAATGGGAACTGGTTTCAAAAGCCTAGGAGAGGGCGGGGGTGGGGGTGGGGGTGGGGATAGCTCAGTAGAATAAATGCCTGCCTGGCAAGCGCAGGCACAAACCAAGCCTAGGAGATTCTCCCAGGCCAGTCCCAGTGGCGAAAGGAGGGCAGGGCGGCTGGCCAGTGTCACCTCTCATGCTGCCTCCCTCTGCAGGCGGTGATGGAGAACATGAGGCGAAAATGCAAATGCCATGGTACGTCCGGCAGCTGCCAACTCAAGACGTGCTGGCAGGTGACGCCAGAGTTCCGCGTCGTGGGGGCGCTGCTGCGCAGCCGCTTCCACCGCGCTACGCTCATTCGGCCGCACAACCGCAACGGCGGCCAGCTGGAGCCTGGCCCAGTGGGGGCACCCTCGCCAGCCCCAGGTACTCCGGCCCCACGCCGCCGAGCCAGCCCTGCTGACCTGGTCTACTTCGAGAAGTCACCCGACTTCTGCGAGCGGGAGCCGCGCCTGGACTCGGCGGGCACCGTCGGTCGCCTGTGCAACAAGAGCAGCACGGGCCCGGATGGCTGCGGCAGTATGTGCTGCGGCCGCGGCCACAACATTCTGCGCCAGACGCGCAGTGAACGCTGCCATTGCCGCTTCCACTGGTGCTGCTTCGTGGTCTGTGAAGAGTGTCGCATCACCGAGTGGGTCAGCGTGTGCAAGTGACCGGCCCAGGCTCCTTGGGCGGGGGAAAGCTGTCCCTCCCACATCTGGGCCCTCTGCCCCTTGGGGTCTCTACTGGGCATCACTGCTTGTGCTCTTGGGACAGGAGGTTGGACTGCGGGATCTTACAGGGTCTGCAGTCAGTGGAAGACAGTCCAGGCCTGTCTGACACCACCATTCACTTCTATGGGGCCTAGGATTGATTGTCCACCTCTTCCTGTCCTGAGCTCAGACTGCCCAATGAATCTGGAGAATGCCCTACATCCTAGCACAACTGTCAGCCAGGCAGCCCAGCCAGCAGGCCTGTCTCCCTTCTCCTGTAGCCTAGAGAGGGATCGATGGGACCTGATACGCAGGGGAGATAGACTGAAAAGAAGAAATGGACCTAAGGAGATTAAATGATTCCATAAAGTCCGCAGACACCCTGCCCACTGGCCTCTGCCCCTTATCCCCCTCACCATTCAGGTATCGGATATTTATTTTGCACTCTCTTGGTGGCACTCCCTAGGGGGAGGAGAGGCACTGGAGACAAGGATGTGAATAAGAGAGAAACAGCACCCACCTTCTAGGAGTTTACATTTTGCAGAGGGAGATGGACAAAAGCAGTAAACACACACACACACACACACACACACACACACACACACAGTCATTTCAGACAATGTTATGTGCTGTGAAGAAAATAAAGAAAATAAAGCAGGGTGCCGGTTGGTGTACAGTGCTTTGTCGGGAGCAAAGGCCCTTTCCAATAAGATGGGAAGCTTGAGTTGTGATGTTCCTGTGGTGACCTGCAAAAGCGGACAGGGAGCCATGCAGAGATAAGAGGCAGTGCTTTCAGGCGAGGCTATGGGAATGCAAAAGCTCTAGGGCAGAAAGGCCTCCACCTGTTGGAGAAACCACAAAGAGGCCCTGGTGACTGGAGTAAAGAAATCAGGGGGCAGGAGAGGCGCTCAGAGAGTGGGCAAATATTAAGTTGCATGTCTTTCTGGGCCTGGGTAAGGAGTTGGGGTTTTATTCAGGAGGAATGGGAACTTGCAGTCTTAAGCTAGGGAGTATCATGGTCAGATTCTCACATGGGGTGTATGGGGATCTGGCTGAGGGGAACAAGGTGAGAGCTGGAAAGCCAACTAGAGGGTTACAGCTGTCTTTCAAACCAGAAACCAGGCCTGGATGAAGGCAATGGAAATGACAAAAAGGGGCTGGCTCCAGCGTCCTCAGTGCCAGAGTGCCAACCGCCCACTTTGTGCCTGAGCCCTCTGCCACAAGCCAGGACGAGTGGCCGTGCCCAGCAGCAACAGTCGGTAGAGACAGGAGGCACTCAGAGAGGACTAATCCTGGGCAAGACCCAGCTCAACCTAGCCCAGCGCCCCAGGGAACAGGTGGGGCCAGAAGGTGCGGCTGGGAAGAAGGCGGAGGGGGAGGGCTGCAGACTCACTGTCTGGAGCTGGGCTCTTGGAGTGGGGTGGAAAGGCTGGGTATGTGATTTGTGAGCAAGGCTCAGGGGGCAGCTTTCCTGGGCCTCTTTTGCCCGGAGAGCCCCTGCACAGGGTGCTCCTTAGCAGGTCATGATTACTCCCTGCTCTCATGCCCATCAGAACACTGTTGGGGTAGCAGTTTGGGTCCTGGGTTGCACCTTCTTGACTCAGATCTGATGATTTTTCAGACCCTCAGGTTATCAGGAAAAGAACACCTCACCTGCTTCACTGAGGCTTCCTGCTGCTCATAGCTAGGGACCATATTGGCTGCTTCAGTTTATTCCAGAATTGCATCTCTCTTGAACAAGAAAAGGACAAAGTCTTGTTGCTTTCCCCAGTTGCCTGCCTTCCCACATCTTGCATTTTCCTACCACTGTCCCATGTTTCCCTACCCTTCATGGAGAGGGAAAGAAAAGGAGACTCTGAGCATGAGACGATGTAGCCCTGTGGTCTCCCCAGGCAGATTTCCCCTTGGCTCCTAGCCTTCCAATTGCCTGCACCACAGCAGCTCCTAGGCATGCCTAAGGCAGCAGGCCCTTCCAAAAGCTCAGCTCTGCTGCTTTGGTGGAATACTGGGTTTCTCTCCCCATCCCAAAAGACGGACCTACAGGTGGGGCAGGAGAGTGCGTGTCCCCAGGGAGAGGGGGTAGGCAGGAGCAGCCAGACACACCTGCTTCATTCCTTTCCTCTTGTTCACCCTGGAAGAGCTGTGGGGGCTGGGTCCCCACCCCCTGCCTCCCTCCCATTCCGGGGTGGAGGAGAGACTGGTAGCTGGGGGAACTGGAGGTGTGTATATGGGGTACTTTCACCCCTAACAGTGTCCACTACTGCATTAGCTGTGGCCACACCCTCCTTGCCTTCCAGGCTTATGGGGGGGGGAATAGGGTGTGTGTGTGGTTGGGAGAGACAAGATGAGAGCTCTAGCATCAAGCTAGGGAATAAGGTAGAGGAGGTAGCACTGGGAGCATGCCACCCCTGAGGAGGCTGGGTGGCAGGGTGGAACAGGAGGCTGCACAGGAGTTGTAGGCAACACAGCATCTAGTGAGCTGGGTCATGGTAAGGGGATACATACTAACCTGGCCAGTAAAGGATAAAAAGTTGAGAAAGGACTAAATGGGGTGTTGCCCCACTTCCCATTCTTTCCTTGAGCTAGAAGTTGAGTCCTGAGACCAAGGCTAGACCCCCACGGGAGAAAGGTTAGGGTGTGGGGCTTGGTAAGGGACCTAAAGGGGATGTACAGATGGTGAAGAGTGGGAGAGGAGGCCTGAGAGTCATGCTGGGCTTAGGCGGTCTGGCTGAAGGATGAGGCAGGAATAATCCTGCTGAGTGGGAATGGGAGAAATGGGCTGAAATCAAGTGGGAGGGTGAAGCTGAGATGAGGAGCATCAGGGGCGAGACTTGAAAATGGGAACAGGAGATGACCCCCCTGTTCCCAGCACCTTTTCACCTGATGGACCCTAGGTTACTGCCTTGTAAGCAGAAGTGATAGTAGGCCCTAATGAAGTCCAGATCGTTCCAAGAGGAGGAAGTGAGGGGACTAACGGAATGAGGGTGGTAGATAGAGTAGCAGGCAGTGCTAGGGTTGAGGGTCACGGTCAGGCAGCCGGCTGGAGCAGGATCAAAACCCAACATCTGGCCTTTCTGTCGCCTAAGGAATGGGGTGGCCAATCAGAATCGCCCAGTGAGAAGGCCGGTTAGGGTCTTCCAGGTTTCCCTTCTTTCCTCAGTGAGAGAATGCGCCTCCAGCTAGCCCCAGCAGGGGGCCTTCCCCGCTGGAGAGTGGCCAGACCCTAGTCGCGGCCCCCCTTTTCCTTTCCCTGCCCCCCTTCTCCTGTGGTTGCCGGCAGCTGCCTGCGGTCGCCCCAGCCCCTGCACTCAAGGCACGGGGACTTTCCAACAGGGGAAAAAATGACTTAATGAGAGTGGGAGCCGGGGGCGGGAGGGACAGGTCCCTGTAATCACGGCTCCGCTGTGGGGCCTGCGTGCCTTCGGGGCCTTCCCTGGCTTCCGGCTGCCAGCGTCCCTTTGGGTTCTGCTGGGGGAAAGGGACAGGTTGGCTACACGGGGATCCCTTCTCAAGTCCCAGGCTTCCAGGGGCCCTCCAGATGGCCTTTTCCCCCTGGGAACGCCGTATGTAGAAGCTAAAGACCCGTGATCCTTCCTCTTTGGACCCAGTGTTTTTACATTGGGATGTATCCCCTCTCCGGAGCGGGGAATCCTCTTTTATGGTTTCGAGGGGTAAAAGGTCGGGGAGAAAGAGCCCTTTGCCGCTTAGCCGCTGCGTACTTCGAAGCGCTCCCGGTTGCTGTGGCAACCAGGGCAGCTGAGGTGTGTCCGCTTGGCTGGGAGGCTCCCGCCTCCCGCTTTTCTTGCGGCCCTCGAGGCCAGGCTGGGTGCTGCGGTGCGCGGGGGTGGGGGTGTGCCGTTACCATGGCAAGGGTGCGCTAGGAGGGCACATTCTTCCCCAGGGTGGGAGCGCCCTGGGGAGGGTGGCGGGGGCGGCAGAATGGAGAGCAAGGGGGTGGTCAGAACAAGGGAGGAGTTTCAGGCAACGCCAACCAAGACTTCTGAGGTTGGAGTGGGGAGGTTGGAATCTGACCTTCCGTAGCTCTCCTAAAGCATCCCTCTCTTTACTCCCCTCGCACCCTTGCTAGGGTTCAGCGCCCCAATCTAATGTCCAGGAAAAGGATCCCCAACCACCGACCCAAAGGCCTTTAGGGTTCTTCCAAGGCCTAGCTTGCGGAGCTAAGGGAACAGCTCTTTCCCGGCTGAGACGCAGCCTAGACTGCCGGCAGAAGCCCTGCAATTACGCCCCTCGCCTGCCCCTGCGCCGCCTACCATTCCTCTCCCTCCTGAGTCTACACCGTCAATTACAGAAACGCGCAGCAACTGATCGCCCTGGAGCCCCGGGAGGGGCTGGGGCTGAGGACAGTAGGCAGGTCGAGGGGGCAGGGCCCCTGGGGTTGTCATCAGCCTTGGGGTTCTTAATTACGCCTTCAGACTTAGGCCTTTTAGACCAGCTTCTCCGCTCCAGACAATATGGGAAGGAGGGGTCTACTGAGAGCTCGGACATGCTGTGCCTCAAGTTACTACGCCTCGATTGCAAACCGTACTGCGATCAGAAAAAGCACAAGGGAGGATCTGCTGTGTGGTGTGGATGCTGGAGCGTTCGGCGTCCAAGGCTGCGGACTCAAAGAGTTCCAGGCACTCAAGGCCGTTTCTCTTTCCCACTGCCGACTGCTGCGTGAGTTTCTTGGCCCTGCGCCCAGCCCGGTGGACGCTGAACCACCCACCCCAAGGCTGCTATCAGCCCAAACTGCTTTTGTTGGCGTTAGAAAACGGTGTACCCTCTGCGCAGGAAGAGGTTTCCCCTCCCCCTCCCGTTCTGTCCCAGAAGGCAAGTCACCCTTACCCCCCGCCGTCCATTCTTCGCTGTCCCCTGCGGGTTACTCTGCAGGGGCTCGGGTTGGAGCTTCGCGCCTCCCACATCTGGCCTGCAGCTGGACGAAACCCGCTAAACACTACTGAAGACACGGCGCCCTCTGTTGGTACGAGGCAGCGGCGCAGCCGCCGCGGCCCCGGAGTCTGGCTCCGGCATTCCAGTTCAGGGATCTCGGCTTCCATCCATTCGGTGCCCACTGCCCTTGGGAACCACCCGCCCTCTGCCTCCTGTTGCTTCCAAATCCAGCTTCACAAGACCTTTGCTCTCCGTGGGCCAAGCCTTACTGACCCTTCTTCCTGCATTCCTGTAGATTTAAAACACTGTCCTGCGACCTAGCTGTTCCCAGATCTCCCATCTTCTTTAATGGTCGGAGTTCGATCTGCAGGTCTGCGAACGATCTCTTCGCGCCCAATGTGAAAGCCCTAAAATAGAAACATGAAGGGCCCGGGAGATGGCTCGGTAGAATAAATGCTTGCATGGCAAGCGCAAGGGCATGAGTTCAATCCCGGTTCCGCCAAAAAATAAATAAAAATAAAATAGGAACGTGATTACATAAATTACCACCCATTTGCTCAGTGGAATTCCTCGTTGAGTCCTTAAAAATGAGCTGGTTAGGGCCTGGGAGATGGCTCAGTAGAATAAGCGGTTGTCTGGCAAGCACAAGGGCCTGAGTTCAATCCACGAGCTGGTTGAAGTATATTTAGTGACTGAGATAGTGTTCGCTCTACATTTGGGGAGAAGGGATTTAAG